ATGAGATATACAAAATTTCGGTATTGAAACCGATCAGGGTTTGATAAAAATAAAAGTTACAACAGGGTAGAATGAGATATACAAAATTTCGGTATTGAAACCGATCAGGGTTTGATAAAAAATAAAGTTACAACAGGGTAGAATGAGATATACAAAATTTCGGTGTCTAAACCGATCAGGGTTTGATAAAAAATAAAAGTTACAACAGGGTAGAATGAGATATACAAAATTTCGGTGTCTAAACCGATCAGGGTTTGATAAAAAATAAAAGTTACAACAGGGTAGAATGAGATATACAAAATTTCGGTATTGAAACCGATCAGGGTTGATAAAAAATAAAAGTTACAACAGGGTAGAATGAGATATACAAAATTTCGGTATTGAAACCGATCAGGGTTTGATAAAAAATAAAAGTTACAACAGGTAGAATGAGATATACAAAATTTCGGTCTGAAACCGATCAGGGTTTGATAAAAAATAAAAGTTACAACAGGGTAGAATGAGATATACAAAATTTCGGTATTGAAACCGATCAGGGTTTGATAAAAAATAAAAGTTACAACAGGGTAGAATGAGATATACAAAATTTCGGTATTGAAACCGATCAGGGTTTGATAAAAATAAAAGTTACAACAGGGTAGAATGAGATATACAAAATTTCGGTTGAAACCGATCAGGGTTTGATAAAAAATAAAAGTTACAACAGGGTAGAATGAGATATACAAAATTTCGGTGTCTAAACCGATCAGGGTTTGATAAAAAATAAAAGTTACAACAGGGTAGAATGAGATATACAAAATTTCGGTATCTAAACCGATCAGGGTTTGATAAAAAATAAAAGTTACAACAGGGTAGAATGAGATATACAAAATTTCGGTATTGAAACCGATCAGGGTTTGATAAAAAATAAAAGTTACAACAGGGTAGAATGAGATATACAAAATTTCGGTCTTGAAACCGATCAGGGTTTGATAAAAAATAAAAGTTACAACAGGGTAGAATGAGATATACAAAATTTCGGTATCTAAACCGATCAGGGTTTGATAAAAATAAAAGTTACAACAGGGTAGAATGAGATATACAAAATTTCGGTATTGAAACCGATCAGGGTTGATAAAAAATAAAAGTTACAACAGGGTAGAATGAGATATACAAAATTTCGGTATCTAAACCGATCAGGGTTTGATAAAAAATAAAAGTTACAACAGGGTAGAATGAGATATACAAAATTTCGGTATTGAAACCGATCAGGGTTTGATAAAAAATAAAAGTTACAACAGGGTAGAATGAGATATACAAAATATCGGTATTGAAACCGATCAGGGTTTGATAAAAAATAAAAGTTACAACAGGGTAGAATGAGATATACAAAATTTCGGTATCTAAACCGATCAGGGTTTGATAAAAAATAAAAGTTACAACAGGGTAGAATGAGATATACAAAATTTCGGTATTGAAACCGATCAGGGTTTGATAAAAATTAAAAGTTACAACAGGGTAGAATGAGATATACAAAATTTCGGTATTAAACCGATCAGGGTTTGATAAAAAATAAAAGTTACAACAGGGTAGAATGAGATATACAAAATTTCGGTATCTAAACCGATCAGGGTTTGATAAAAAATAAAAGTTACAACAGGGTAGAATGAGATATACAAAATTTCGGTATTGAAACCGATCAGGGTTTGATAAAAAATAAAAGTTACAACAGGGTAGAATGAGATATACAAAATTTCGGTATCTAAACCGATCAGGGTTTGATAAAAAATAAAAGTTACAACAGGGTAGAATGAGATATACAAAATTTCGGTATCTAAACCGATCAGGGTTTGATAAAAAATAAAAGTTACAACAGGGTAGAATGAGATATACAAAATTTCGGTATCTAAACCGATCAGGGTTTGATAAAAAATAAAAGTTACAACAGGGTAGAATGAGATATACAAAATTTCGGTATTGAAACCGATCAGGGTTGATAAAAATTAAAAGTTACAACAGGGTAGAATGAGATATACAAAATTTCGGTATCTAAACCGATCAGGGTTTGATAAAAAATAAAAGTTACAACAGGGTAGAATGAGATATACAAAATTTCGGTGTCTAAACCGATCAGGGTTTGACAAAAATAAAAGTTACAACAGGGTAGAATGAGATATACAAAATATCGGTATTGAAACCGATCAGGGTTGGATAAAAAATAAAAGTTACAACAGGGTAGAATGAGATATACAAAATTTCGGTATCTAAACCGATCAGGGTTTGATAAAAAATAAAAGTTACAACAGGGTAGAATGAGATATACAAAATTTCGGTGTCTAAACCGATCAGGGTTTGATAAAAAATAAAAGTTACAACAGGGTAGAATGAGATATACAAAATTTCGTTTGGGTGGAACAAAAAATAAAAGTTAGTCTTGAAAACAAAGAGGGTGGAAACTATCATTAAAAATTCTAATTGGAAAGAATCCTAGTAAAAAATCTAGCATCGATGGTGATAAGCAAGTGATAAAAATTGTGCAAAAATTAAAAATGTTGAAAAATGTTGCACAAATATAAAAGTTAAAAAAAAAAATGAAAAACAAAGCCACTAACCTTTTGAAGATCTCTCAGCAATGACGACAAATTTAAATACATATATATATGGGAAATTGCAAGCACATAAATAATAATTTAACATAAATAAATCATCAATCAATTATAATATATAAAATGAACACATTGCTTATCACCGCATCCGCATAAATATCATCATGGGCTATGAAAATTATTTATTTTTTTAAGTAAAAAAAATAATATAATTCCCATAAGTTGAAAATAAAAGAAATCCTACCTTTGCAGCATCTTCGCCCATTTATATCTCTGCAATATTATAAATATCTGCAAATTCTGCATCTGCAACTCTCTGCAAACTGAAGTGATGTGGGCTCGAAGTGATAAGATCATATCAAAATCTGAAAATAATGAAAAATATAACGATAGATTTGTTTCAAAACGTTTAAAAATAACTATTCATTAATTCATTATAATTTTATATTATTTTTAAGTCATATACAATAATAAATCTATGATGGAATTATGTCATATTTTAATAACATATATATATATATATATATATATATATATATATAAATGATATGAAATAATTCCATTACATATTTATTATTTTATGTAACTTGAAATTAATATAAAAAAAATAATAATTGTAAATATTTAAATGAATTATATATAAAGCAAAAGTACTGGTTTGAACATGAACTGGAGTTAGCAATGGCCGCCATCTTGTTTTGCAAAAGCGCCGCTAGATGGCTTGTCAATAGTTTGCCAATAAGTTGCAAATAATAAATAATAACAATATGCAATTTGATGAAAATGAATTCAATTTGTTTAATGAAAATGATTTATATCAGAATTATCGTTGCAAATACGATTGTAATGTTAAAAAGACGATTCAAACTTTGGTCAATTGACAGCTGAGACGCCGTCAGGACCGAAGAATTTGCCGTTGCTTTTTTGAACAAAAAAAACTTTACAGGCACAGTTTTTGAATGTAAATGAATTTAGTACATCAAAGTTTATTGAATTTTCATCAATAATAGGTTGTGCAAACGGTTATATTGCTTAAATCAGGCAAAAACCACCGGTTGTTGTTATGGGCGCCATCATGGATTTTTGAAAAGCAGCAAAATTTAAATTGCGAAAAATTGCAAAAATCTCAATAAATATAGAGGAAAAGTGCAAGAATATCAAATAATATGTAATAAATTTATAATAAATCAACAATTAAGCAATAGCCCAAGACATTTTTACAGACATAAACATTGTTTGCATTTGTGTACCAAAGGGCGTCCGTTGTTGTGCTAATAACTGTCATAAATATTATGGCCCCCATCTTCGATTTTCCATAATATTAAGTAATATGTAGTAAATTTATAATAACTCAACAATTAAACACGCCTAAGACATTTTTACAGATGTAAACACAGTTTACATATCTGTACCAAACGGCGTCAGTTGTTGTACTAATAACTGTCAATAATATTATGGCCGCCATCTTGAATTTTTAAAAAGTAACAAAATTTAAATTGCAAAAAAACGTAAAAATTTCAATAAATATTGAGTAAAGGTGCCATAATATTAAATAACATGTAATAAATTTATAATAAATCAAGAATTAAGCACGCCTAAGACATTTTTACAGATGTAAAGACTATTTACATATCTGTACCAAACGGCGTCAATTGTTGTGCTAATAAAACATAAAAATTGTGCAAAATAATGAAAAATAAATGCTCTTACCTTTAATAAGTATATACTGCACACCGGAACACACTTAAAAAACACTACTTGGTTTCAAAATAATAATATTTACTATTCACTTTGATCACTTGCACTGCACCACTGCGCGAGATGTTTACTGTTCGAGAGCTGACGCGCTAATGAGCCGCCCGCTAATTAGCACCCTTTTATATAGGCAGGTTGGAGGGTACTCGCGTAGTCCAAAGAGCCTCTGAGCGTAAACTTAACCCCGGTATCAAATGTATTAATTATTGGGTTTTAAATCAAATTTTATGGGTAAAACTTGTTAAAAAAAACTAGTTGAAACATAATTACACACAATAATTAAGCACTATTCGCTGGGTAATTAAACATTCGTTGGGTAATTAAACATTACAACAGCCAGTTGTATGAATTCAAAAGATCAAAACAATAACAAACAATTTGAAATAAATTCGTTAAAACTACACAATGACACTAAGTACAAATGATTAAAAACATTATGTCTGGCACAATTAGTTTGTGTAAAACTTTTGGAAACCAAATTCTACACATTTTTTTGCAAATTTGAGTTTATATAAATATATAACCACAAAATTTTTGTTATTCTTTCAGTTTGAAACGTCAAAATTAAATTTATCTTATCTGAAAGCTGCGAAGTTAGCCAAAATAGTAAGTGTGGAAAACATCAGAGATAAATAAACTTATATGGAAAACATCGTTCGTCATTGTTCGTTTGCATCAAAATCAAAGGCTTCTTCATACTCTTCTTTTATCTATGATCAAAGGTATTTCAATAAATACATCAGGATATGATAAATACCGATTAAAATGTAAGTATGAACTGTTAAAACATTATTCTAATTATATTTATATAAACTTTGTGTAAACTTGTGTAATTGTTTTTCACTAGTCTTATCAGTCAAATGTCATGTCAGTTCAACTACCATTTTTATTAAAAATGCTGTATTTATTGGTGATTTTGTTTAATGATTATTTATAGTACAAAAATCTGTTACATTAATACTGTGACTATATTAGCAATAACTTACTTTATTTAAAAACTTAATTTTTAATACTTCTGTAATACAATTAGAGGTTTCTCATAATACTTAATTTCTCATAATCATTAATAATAACAATGACTACACAGAATGTATAATCAATTTGTGATTGTTTAGGTTTTAATGAAGGATTTTTGGAGATATTTGGATTACTCTACTCATTCAGGACAATATAACCTTTTTGTGGAGATGACGATGGGCACACTTTTAAATGCAAATAAAATGGATACTAAGTTTACTCAAAGATGACTGCCTTCAAATACTAGATAATATTCTAATACTTAAAAATACTTTCCACAAGTTTATTATGATTTCAATCAATCAGGAGGAATATCATAAGAGGTAAATGTTCTCGACTGTTAACCTAATTGAATATTGTTGCACAGAATTTTAGTGAAAAAATAATTACAAATCAAGTTGACTTTTATCTGTAATGCAACTGTAGGATTCTCTACCTTTGCCTAATTCTCAATAATAAGAATAACTACAAAGAATGTGTAATCAAATTATGATTCGAAGCTTATTAGACTCTTATATGCAATACAAATATAGGTTTCCCTATACTTGAATATTTATTAATATTAGCAATAACTACACATAATGTTTAATTAAATTATGATTGTTTAGGTTTCAATGGAGGAATTCTGAAGATTACTATATTCCTATTTGGGTTACTCTATTCACATGTTATAAAGATGACCAAGAACACACAATGCAAACGCAAAATAAAAGAGGTTACTAAGTTCACTTACAGATGATTGTTTGGATACTCTAAATTATATTATAATACTTGAAGATAATTTACTCAAGTTTATTATGAATTTGATGATAAATCAGAAGAAATATCATAGAGGTAAATATACTTGATTGTTAGTTAATTAAATAATATTACAGGGAATTACACTTGAGAAATAAACACAAATCAAATTGAGGCTTCTTGATATTATACATAGAGAAGTCTATGTACAAAAAACAGACAGATGAATAATATTATTTTATAGATTATATAGATTTTGGCACTTACAAAGCTAATGAATCTAATAGGGCAAGGCAAAATTAACATACATTTAAAATTCATAGAATATATTCATGGAAACATAAATGTTAAGAATGGTAGAATTTAATGAATGCTTCTTAGTAGTTTCAATTTTGGACCTTTATAGCATAAAATTTAAATGTACGTTTCACTAAATATTGATTGCAAGCACAAATATATATTATGAAGATATATAATGCAAATTTGCGAAATTAACAAAATATTGTATTGACACAATTGGGTTAAGCATGTAACCTTTTGTTTATTATTAAATGATAGCATCAACTGCAAAGAATTATAATAAGTTGAACCAATTAAATAGAAAAAACTAAACGAAGCTGATGTGAAAGATTTGGCAGCATAATAATTAATATAATTCACATATGGATTTGAAAGAATCTCGACAAATCATCAACATAGCATTTTCATATATCTTCCACATCTTATATTCTACTTAAATTGTGAATAATAGGATATTTGTTAGCACTGGATGAAGATGCAAGTTTTAAGAAGCAATCTAAAGGTATTTTTATCATTCTTATACTAGATACAACTTATGTCAACATTATACAAATTGGTGATTTCGCAATTGATTGAATTATGATATATTTGAATATAACTTTTTATTTATGGATTGAATTTTTCAAATTCAAATAAAAATACATTACTGACAGTCAAATCTTTCTTAAAATAAAACCCGCACATTTTATTTTTCTCACAGTTTACTCCCATTTTTATTTTACTCTGGCGTCCTCTATCAGCTGAAAACTTGCTACCAGAAACTTCAATCACCTCCATGACTTCTGTAAATGCTGACCGATTGAGCAGTGTATTGCAACACGGTCCTCTGGGCAGATCTGGTACATCTGGTGGTGGTTCAAGGCATTTAATCAGACAGCAGACGTTTCCACCTTTACAGCCTGGTGCGGCAAGCACCAGAGCGAGGTATATGAGTACCGCTGCTGATTTGAATGGAGGACACGAGCGATATGTGCTGCCGGAAGCAACCAGCAGGTGGGAAAAGGATAATTGTATTTTTATTTGAGCTATATCATAATTTTGTATTGCCATTTTCAGGTCGTCAACGTCTTCAGAATCTCTAAAGGCTCCAGGCCTAGTTCCATTATCCACGGCACCGCATCAGTCTGGAATTTCGACTTCACAAAGAAGTTCTAGAGGAAGTTGCTGGCAAAAAGAAAATGTTGATCCGATGCTTTTGGTAGGTGCAGGAAGCAGATACAGGTCTCTCAACAGGCGGAGCGGTTCTGCACCTGCTCCAACACTGCCACCAGCAGACGAGAGTTTAAATTTGACGACTGTGCAGAAACATGGAGAAATTTTGAGATCTATTCATGGGGAAGGGGATCGGTTCCGGCTGCCATTATTACATTAAGTGAGTAACTAGTGGTGTATGACATCGTGGCAAATTGCTGGAACTTTCCGTACAGTAATGAAATATTCTGAAACGTAAAGATGTGCAAAAAATTTCAATTTCTGAAAAAAAGTTGAAGTTGAAGTTTTAAAGTTGATCCTAATTTGTATGTGGATCCTGAATGACGCACGCCTCCAAATCGAAGTGCTCCCACATCAGGTGCGACAGCGATTGTGGAGCAGTTTCTCTCAGCATCAGCTTGAACTACAAACGAAGGGGTTCCGTACCGTGCGAAACTTCTGCCAAAGACAAAATCCAACTCTCACGTCAACTTACCCACAGATAACATACACTGTATCCATTACCCAAATAACATGCACTCTCTATCCATATTGTCTTTTAGAGCTAAAACTTTTAGAGAATTTTATCAATTTCGAAGCATTTAAGCACTTGGTAGCAAGGAAATTCAAAATTATCCATATTAAGGACAACCCTAATGTACAGAGTATCCCCGAATTAAACGTCAAGCCGAAACAGGGGATAAAATCTATTCTTATTATATCAACCTAAAATTTTGGCTAAGAATACAAAATAGAAAGAGAGATAGTAGCGTTCAAGTTTACCAAGAGTGAGCAGGATAGATAGTGACGTTTTTGTTGGAGTCACCAATAATCGGGTTATTTGAGACTTTTATTTTTCACTCGATTTTTTAGGATGAAACTAACAAGTATTGTACTATTTTACAATCCTGATTGAGTGCACAAACTTTTAATGATACTTGCCAAAGCACTAGTACATTTTTTTTAAAGAGAATAGTTATAAAGATGACGAATTTTGGGTTTGTGGTTTAACAAATATTTGACTGCGGTTGACTGAATTTTTCCAAAATTGATCAAAAAAACCCAAAATTATTTATTTTCACCAGATTTCTAGGTTATTCTTAAATGCCCAAAATTTTCGAGATGTATACGACATTTTTTTTTTCTAATTTTTTTCATAATGGTTTCAATTAATTCTGTCACCCTGATTCGGATTGATGTTGAATTATGGGACACCCTGTATATTTTTTCTCGGGACATACCCGCACATAGACTTTCTTAAGACAAACATTTTTAGTACAAAAACTTTGAGCCAACTTCAGTTACGCTTAACTATAATATATAATAACTAATGTTATATTGATATTTTTTCCATTTGGAGGTTAGTTTTGAGGCGTTAACAGTATCAAAATTTTTGAAATATTAGTATTTTTACATATCAGTTTCATTTAACGCTGCATTTGTGATGTAATATTACTCGTAAATGCATAAAACAATATATTCTTATATATACTCTACTCCATATGAGCATCGCACGACGAATATATTCGCCAATGCACAAAATTATGTCACTTCTCCGTGACGAGTATGCACGTCAAACTCAGTTAACTAACTTTGAAAAGAAACGCGAAACGCAAATGTATCTAATTTACACGCACAACAAATATACTCGTCAATACCCAAAATTCGGGCACTTTTCCATGATTTATATTTGTTTATATTTATTTCAGTCGCAGTTGACTAACACAAAAAACACACAAAACACAAACGTATCCATTATGTTTACTTATCTATGAACGTATCTAATTTAACACACGGCAAATATATTCGCTGCACAGAATTCTGCCACTTCTCCTTGACGAGTATACACGTCAATCGCAGTTACTTAACTTAAGAAAAGAAACGCGAAACGCAAAAGTATCTAATTTACACGCACGACAAATATATTCGTCGATACACAAAATTCTGCTCCATGACGAGTATACTTGTCAATCGCAGTTAACGCAAAACGAAACGACTCAAAGCGGGGTACGGGTTAATAATTAGTACTTGTTGATAAAAACCAATAAAAATAATTATATTTTAAGAATCTCTATGTGCGTAAATCCAAAATACTTGTAATAAATTATTATAATTTTTGGACGAATGAAATGTGAAACCAAATATGATGTATCCCGAATGTGACAGCAATAAAAACTATTCAACATTTATTTGTTTCCAGAATCAATTGTTGTTTTATTAAGAACCAATGTACTGGCCAATCAGTGCGACAGGGACAGGAATAGAGTTTGTAGAGCGCTGTCTCTGTCACATGGTTTGTGCGATGTGATTGGTTGTAACCGAGGTAAATATTTACTCGTATAGAAAGATTTTGAAAATATTTTAAAAGCAAGTTGTAAACCTGATAATGGAATGTATCTAGATCTGATAATATATATCTTATATATAAAAATGGAGCTCTCTTTCAAATGTCCAAGTAAAACTCGAAAACGGCTAAACCGATTTGACCAGTCTTAGTCTTGAAAAATTCGTGCCAATCCAGAGATGGTCGGAAAGGTGAGATATTATTTCAAAATCGCGTACAAACTTTACATTTTTAATTTGAAAATTTTTGTTGAAGCGTAATGTAAATAAAACAATGGACGGTGGCTTATACTTGAAATGTCAAACGTTTTTGACAGATGATGTTCGATTACGTTTAATAGGATGTTTTACGTGAATATTATTTAATTATGATTAAATTGTAGCAAGTAGCTGTTTGTAGTTTTATTTATATACAAAAACGTTATATATAAATAATGGCCGCAAGTGTTACTAGAAACCGAAAATATCAACTCTTTTGAAATGATAATATGAAAATGGACTTTTTGGTGTTGTAGCACTCTTTTTTTTGCAAATCATATTTTTCTCAATCAGGGTGCTCTGAAAGATCTCATTTATATAATTATATACTCATTGGTATTTATAAAACATTTTCTAGGATATATTATTTTTTAATTATGTTATTTCAATTCAGAACCTAAATTTGGTATCGATCAAATGGACATTTTGTCGAATAACATTTTTCCAGTTATAATCTCCCAGAATTTATTGCAGAATAGATAGTAATATATGAAGGTCCGGGATTAAAAAGGTCCACCACCGATGTGCCAAAAATCAGTAAAGTTAATCATTGTTTAACAACAATATTTGAAAGTAGAGGAAAAAATATGTATAACCAGCTATAAACTTGATTTGAAAACGATAATCTTTGAAATGGGGGAGATAAACGGTAATCTTTCAAATCCATAATAAAAGTATTTTCTTCCGTTGGTAGTTTTAGCATTAGTTAAAAATGTAATTATTTTGTAAAATATCTTTAAAATTATAATAAGGCTTTAAACCTTTTGCCACCTGCCCGTTACAAGTTACCCCGCATATAGGATAAAAAGGTCTAGATAACAAATTTTTGGAAGACATCAAAAAAGCACATTTCTACAATGATGAAGTAGAAGTCAGTTTATTGAACGTAGTCAGATAATTGTTCGTTTGATATGTCTTGTTTGTTGTGATATAGTTGTTATGGTTTTCACAATATAGTTTATATTTGCTCAAAGTCAAATTGGACCTTTGTGTCTCACCCTGCTCTACATATATTCTTTTTATTAAATTTACTTTAATTCATCGAATGTAACTTGAAACTATTCAAAAAGCAGGTCAAAGAAGAAATACTTAATTCATTTTTTATCTCTCCTCGCAGAAATTTGAAAATTTTGTATAAGCTCAGTAGTATTATTTACAATTATACACAAAATCCAGAATCTAAAAAGAATCTGAAAAACTTGAAACGTAATCAATATGTCGAAAGACCAAAAATGACTTGGATTGGATTATACGATGTTTTCTATAGAAAGTGTATAAAACTTGCAGTTTGATTGTATTGACAAACTATAGACAAACTAATGGGGTTTATTGTTTTTATAATACCTAATTGTATACAGCATTCAAACAACACATTCTTATGCACTTAAAATATTAATATTATTAATTAATATTTTTGATTCTCTAGAAATGGTTTACAATATACCTTATTTAGTAAAACAACGTTTGCCGGGTCAGCTAGTATATATATATATACATGCATATACATTAGAGGGTGGTTCTTAATATGGACATTTTCGAATTTCCTTGCTTTCCAGGGCTCAAATGGTTCCAAATTGATAAAAAAAACTCTCTGAAAGTTTTAGCTCTTAATATTAACTTTTAGATAGTACGCAATTCAATCAAACTTCATATGGAAATAGCATGGAAAAAATTTTGAAAACTACAAAAAAATGTTTAGGTATAACTTAGCGACAAATGAATGAAAAGTGAAAATTTGTGTCATTTTTTATTGAAAATTCGACGCCCTGCAAAATTTTTGAAAGATGTTTCATGCTATTTCCATACAAAACTTTTATTGAATTGCGCTTTATCTAAAAGATAATATTAAGATCTAAAACTTTCAGAGAATTGTTCTTTATCAATTTGGAACCATTTGAGCCCTTGGGTGCAAGGAAATTTGAAAATGTCCATATTAAGGACCAACCTAATATACATACAAACATACTTTAGATATGCTAATTGTGATAACACACTTAAAAAGGGATACTTTTGCTTGGAATTATATTTCCAAGTGATAACCGTTCTCACAATCTCACAACTATCTGACATCAGGCTGCCAGTGGTATCGAACTTGGGACTTCTGAGTAGAATTCCATAGTTTTTACCAAGAGTAAGCCTCATATATTAAGAATAAATTTAATTTTTATTTTTCGATTCTAAATCATACCCTCTATATATTATTATAATTATTTTATTCATAGAATGTTTTCTTCTTTTAGTGAGGGCGCAAAAGTATGTTCTCCGCCGGACGAAAGCTCTTCGGTCAGTGAAAACGGAGGTAGTCCTCACAGGAAAAAATCTACTGAGGTAAATATTTTGAGATACTAAATTTGAGATTATAATACTTTTTGTAGATCTATGATATTGTAGGATTAATTATAAAATAGGGCCTTACTCAAACCGAATTTGTGCCATTCACAAATATAATGACATCTTTCGAAAAGTTTTTGAATTTTTAAAATTGAATCCAGAATTTTGGAGAAAATATCGATAAAATATCTTGCATTTATCTAATAATTGTAAAAAGATGGTTCGGCGGGAGGCTGGTACAATAAGAGCGTTTACATTCCAAAAATTCAAAAAACATGCTGCATATTAAAATTTCATGAAATTAAGTTTCTTAACTTAATGACTTTCTTTCTTCTTACGATTGGTGCCAAGCTCTCGCAAAATTCCAAAATTAAAACTTTCTCATTTCATTGATATATCTTCATACACGTTGACTGCGATTTCTTTGGATCTATATCGATTTTCCATGCTAAAATATTTACATATGTTTTATTTAAAAATTTATATTGTGTATAGCGCCGATTTTGATAAGATAGAATAGGTGATCCTTTTGTGAAGCCGGTTATCGATATTATTATTTTTATTTTTTTTTTTTTTATTATTAGCTCTTTTATTTACAACTGTCCAGTATAGGACATTCAGTAAATTTAATGGATTTACAATAGTCCGCCGAAAAGGTACATTGTATACTACTTTGACTTGTTGGAAAAAACAACTCAGTAGTTGTTTTTTCGATATAAAATTTACAATATTTACTTATTAAATAATTTCCTATAAATAATGATTAAGTTATTTCCATTTTTTTCTCAGGAGATTTGATTTCTTAAATCCAGTGGCGCTTTTCTTTTCAACCTTCAACGATAGTTCTCTGTTATCAATGAGTTTGCTAATGTATTTGGGTGATTGATTAGCTTGTTTCTATACTTCTGTGCTGTTTTTGTTATTACTTCATTTATGGTAGGTGTATTCGTGTCAGCATGAATCAACCAGTTGGGAACATATTTTGGAGCTCCTAAGGCAATTTTCAAAAATTTGTTTTGAAATTTCTGTATAATTTCTATATTGGTCTTATGAGCACTGCCCCACAATTGTATACCATAACACCAAATTGGTTTGAATAAAGTTTTATATAAAAGTAGCTTATTGTATGCGCTTAGTTTGGATTTAGTTCCTAGTAACCAGTAAAGCTTTTTGGTTTTTATCTCAAGCTGTTGTCTCTTTTTTTATATGAGTTCGCCAATTAAGTTTTCTATCGAGGTATATGCCGAGATATTTCACATGGTCTTCTTGAGGTGCTTGAGTATTTCCTATTCTTACTGGTGGGCAAGTCTCTCTTCTAAGTGTAAATGTGACATGTACTGACTTTAAGCCATTCATTCCAAATCTCCAGGTTTTGTCCCATTTTTCTAATAAATTTAAATGGTTTTAGAGTAACTCAGATGCAGAACTGGAATCTATGTGGCTGGCTAGAATGCACGTATCATCAGCAAACGTAGCGATCAAAGTGTTAGTTGTTATTGGTATGTCAGATGTGTATATTAAAAATAGAATTGGCCCCAAGACGCTTCCTTGTGGAACACCTGAGGAAACTGTCTTATTTGATGATTCAGTTTCTAAAATATTTACTAAAAACTCCTATTTGACAGATATGATCTTATTATTAAATATAGAGAGTACGTCAAATTCATTTTTAATTTATAGAATAGTCCAGTATGCCATACCTTATCAAATGCTTGTTGTATGTCTAAGAATGCTGCTGAACAGTA